CCGGCAGCCCCCCGGCTGCTCTGCTCCAGGCGTCCTGAGTCAGCTGCTGCTGGTCAGTTGCTCTGCCCCGGGCTTCTTGGAATCAGCCGCTGATCAGTTTCAGCAGCAGCTGACTTGGGGACACCTGGGGTAGAGCAGCTGGGGTGCTGCCGGGTTGGTCCCCGCAGCGCTGAGGTGCGGCGCTGCAGGGACCTAACCGGTAGCGCCCCAGCTTCTCTGTTCCAAGCGTCCAGATTCAGACGCTGTTGAAACTGATCAGCGGCTGATTCCAGGAAGCCCGGGGCAGAGAAACTCTGCCTCGGGCTTCCTATAGTCAGCCGCTGGTCAGTTTCAGCAGCAGCTGAATCTGGACGCCAGTTTCGACTTAAGTACAAATTCAACTTAAGAACAAACCTACAGTCCCTATCTTGTACGTAACCCGGGGACTGCCTGTACATGACTATAGTATAGCTGCAGCTGTGTCCATTGATGTGCTTGTAGGGTAGACATATCCTGTGTTAGTGTCTCAAGCCAGGCTTCCCTGCCAAATATGTGCTCTTAACACAAATCTATATTTCTCTGATGTGATAATTATACATAATCTTACCTCATCATATTCCCCATCTGATTCTTCACGTTCTATATACTCAACATTCTCTCGTTCATTAAAACCTCCTCCATATCCTGCAAATTGTAAAATAATAATGAACTATAATCTCTTATAATATGTACATGCAATTACATTAAGTACAAAGTCTTTAGTAAATACTTCTGTTATATTACATTTTATTAAAATGAACGGACGATGTATCTAGATCAGTGGTACTCAAAAAAGTGACCCCAGGTAGTCCATGACTCGAGCTCAGTCCCGTTCTCCCCGTAGCAGGGAGCCCATACTGATGCGCCAACCTCACCCGCCATCCCAGATGGAGCTGGAGTGCCAGAGGAGTGAAGTGTCTCAGTTGGGGACCACATCAATGAGAGTTAGGGATTTTTTGAGTTTTTTTTAATTTTTTTTATTTTTTCGCTTCTCACGTGTGGTCCCCAAATGATTTTTCTATGGATCAGTGGACTGTGACCCAAACAAAAGATTCCCCATCCCTGTCATAAATAAAGAAAACATGGAGACTTTTTGTGTTAGACATAAATTACACTTAATTTAAAATGAAGTTTGATAAACTAACATGAAAAAGTTAAAGCAGTTAATCTTTTTAACAATTTAAATTAATATTTTCTTCCTTACTGGTTAAATTACACCACTCTCCCTGGCTGCAACACTAGAAAAATGGCTCGGGTGTAATTACGTAATTAATGGCGACTTTCCATTTGCAACTGGTGGTCCACGGAAAGGTTTGCATTGAGCCAGGTAAGCCATGGGCCAAAGTTTGAGAACCACTGTTCTAGATGTATAAAATATCATAAAATATATATCAAATATTATGCAATCTGAAAGCAAACCGATATTAAACCGTTCTCACATAAGCATATAAAAATAGTTTGTACGAATCTAATTGAGAAGCTGAGGTAACCTTTGCTAAATGAAAAAATACATCCCACTGCAACTGTTTTGTAATTACAGACCAGATTATGGCTCCTTTGAGACACTGTAGTGCTGAAAAGAAACCATAATCAGGCTGCAAATGCCCAGCAGAGAATCCCCCTTGTGTAGGAGAATATCCTGCAGAAATGGTCAGGGCAGAGAGGAACTCTGCTCCACCACTGCCATAAAGTGAGGACTTAAGGTTATTTGTGTGTTTATCACATTGCATTTGAAATGATAGTTTATAAACATATTAAAATTGTTTCTTCAATGTTATATACACAAATATCAAAACAAACTTAAATCTTCAGTTAAAAACAGTCTCTTCCTTCTTCATTGCTCGTGCTATTTCCAAAATAACTTTTCTTCCCACCTGCTATTCATTTGAAGTCATAGCAGGTATTTTGACACAACAAATGTCACTAACATAGCCCCACAAAAGAGAAAATGATGACTATAAAGCAGAAATAATTAGCACAAAAAGATGAATGTCTAAAACAGAGAGCCTTTCCATTCAAGTATCCTCAGTTAATAAAAAAAAAAGGACATTGGCAAGCCATCCTTCTCTTTCCAAACCAGGAAAGTAATCAAAATGATTTATATAGTGAATAATACAAGCACGTACTTTGTGCAACTGTTTAGAATGCCTAACATATTTCACCATTTCTGAATATCTGCAGGCAGCTCAGAACTTCTTGTTTTAATCTTCAACTTTAATTTCAGATATAATTTACAGTTGTTTGTAAGTAACAAAACTGTGTCTTGGTACATGTACTTTAGAATTATACGACTTGGCAACATGACAGCTAGTTTATTTTTTAAGAATAAATAGAAAAAATAGAAAACTGATAAATTGTACTTTTCTGCTATGATGAATCAATTGTTCTGTGTTTCTAATTTTACAAGTATCAGAATACTAAAACAGATTAATTCCCTGACAAGATAACACTCATTGGGCTCATCTACATCACAACCACTCAATCAGTTCCAGCATAGTTGCAACCATGACCTAGTTATAATATGGTTTCATTTTGTAATTTGGTGGAACTTTATTATATCCAAAACATGACCAAGCCTATTATTTAATTTTGAAATAGTTATAGCCCATTCTACACTACAAACGGGAATTGTATTGTAACCTACTACTAACATATAAATTTAATGTAGATGGACGCTATGGCTACATACCAAAAATTCGAAATTAATATTTCCTGGATTTAAACATAATCTGTTGGGAATTTGTTTTAAAGTACTGTATCTTCATAAAAACTAAAAAGATGTTTAAACTGACCACTCCATGAAGATTTCCTGAAATGAACCACTCTCACACTTGCAATTTATATATTAATAAGTCTATATACTGTACATACAAAGATTTACAGGGTAGGACATGCAAGAGAAAGACTAGGTAGAATTGCTATGTTTATTAAAAATGACCACTTGATTTAAGTTAAGTTAGTTTCTTCTTAAAATTTATTTAAAAATGTAAATTCATCTTACCTGTTCTTTCCTCCAGTTTTGCATACTTTGGAGTATTACACATATTACACTCTGATCTCCTGGCCCAGTTCACATTGCCACAGCTTTGGAAGGAGGGGAAAGAAAGTAAGTGTAAAGATGCAACATTTTATTTCAAGTTAAAGAGCCCAGAAATTAGGAAATATTTCCAGAAAATAATTAGATCAATTTATATTGGTTAGCAGTAATTTGACTTTACTACTAATCTAACAGGTAATTGTAACATAAATAGGGTCCACTCTTGCAATATTTATTTGTAGGGCCCACAAATCTGCGGGTATCCACAGCTGCAAATTATTTTTCAGATGTGGATATGAATTTTGTATCTGTGCAGGGCTCTACTTATTTGCACACAACTCTCAGAGAAGTCTATAGGAATTTTGTCAGAATAAGGATCACAGGCATGAGTCAAGTAGTCAGTCCAAAGAGCCCCAAAAGAATTACTGCTATGATCAAGTTTAAAATGCACATATATGCACAGACCTAGACCAAATCATAATATGGTAGTAAGACAGTACATATTTGGGCATAAGAGGAGTTTTCACTACACTACAAAGAAGTCATGTTTTGTAACTTTTTTCCTAGGGTTTGACTGTATTGGAGAATGGTACCTAGCTTATTTAAAAAAGGCAGTAGAGGTTGAAGAAAAAAAGAGGATGATTGGAAAACAGTGGGAAAAAGTCAAGAATTAAATAGGAGAGCACTGGTGCAATCTGTAGGAACAGTGGTATAAGTGCCAGTTATAAAGTTGAAATCTGACAAATGTGAACTAGGATTCATTAGCATTTTCTAGAGATAGGAAACATTTCTAGTAAGTACAGGTTTTATAGACTGGAAATTGTATGCGGATTAACAAAGAGTGAATAGATAAATCAAAAGGGTATCAGGAAATACTAAGTTCTTCATAAAATCAAGGTATCAGGAAAAAAAAATCTGTTCCCATAATTGTTTCAAACAAGTATACTTTTACAAAGTTTGTGGAAAAATACAGTTTCTCTGTACTTTGACTTCATTGTTGTTTTGGGAAGTTTTGGAAGATGTGAAAGAAAGGCACTCTCATTCTTCTACCTATTTCTTTTTTTTAGAAAAATCCACACATATAGCAGCCTGTGAAATGAAATAACTGACAAGAAGTTTTTCAGTCAGATGAGGAACATCTAATCCTGTACTTTAATCAAAAGGCCATCTTGTCTGTCTAAAGTCATACTGAGTAAATATTTATTAAAAAAAAACTGAAAATGAAAATTAACCTATTACGTGAAAACATACAAAACCCATTTTAAATACCACTAAAAAAAAAAAAAAGAGGTCCAAATTAATCTTGCCTACCCAATAAAAGCCACACTGATTCTGAGTCAAACAACCAAAATCCATGAATTTTTAATCAATTAAAAATTTCTTCAGCAGAAATATTTAACTTTTAACACCAACATACGTTTTACATTGCCAGTCATTAGCACTGAACAGGCCACGGCTCTTTTCAGCAAGGGTCTTCCCTATTTCAGTCCCTCCAGCTTTCATCATTTTGGCTTCAGTTGTTTTTTCTGAAAATAGATTGAAGAAAATAACTGTCAAGAAGTTTCTTATAGGGATGTAATAGTATAGTCAATTAACCAATTAACCAATAAGCAAAAGCTTATAGGTTAATTCTACAGACTACACACATTTCCTCTCCCTTGGCCAGTAAATTTTTTAGCAGGCTGTCCAACAGCCTGGCTCAGTCCTGGCTTGTGCTGAGTCCAGGACCTACCCCAGCTGCGACTCTGCATTTAAAGTGTATAAGGAACCAGGTGGGCAGGCAGCCTGGCTCAGTTCTGGCTCACGCCAGATTCGGGAACTCAGGCAACCCACCCAAAGAGGTGCCACCCCGCACTGTTGCCTCTACAGAGCAGCAGCATGGGGCAGCAGGCAGCCAGTCTGCAAGGAGAGCTGTTTTTTAAACTGGCTCCTGCCTGGCACCCCACGCTGCTGCCTTTGATACAGAAGCAGCAGTATGGAGTGGCAGGGGGCTCCTCAAGAGTGGGGCCAAGGTGCACTGGCTGCTGGCCCATCGCTGGATAGAATTCATAAGGTTAAGAGATTATTCAAATAACCAATATTTAACATTCCTAGTTTCTTATAGACTGAACATTTTGGTTTTTGGGGAGGGAGGGGAGGGAAAGGGAGAGGGAGGCGAGGATTAGAAAGAAAGGGAAATCTAAACTGGAAAATAGGTACCTCGACCACATCTGTTACAGCTCGTTCTTCTAGCAAAGTTAACATTTCCACACCTAAAAAAAAAAAAGATATATATATATATATTTTTTTTTTCTTATGAAGGGTAATTAGCACTTTTTTAAACATGAAAAGAATAACAACGGTAATTAATATTTGGAAAATGTTTTAAAGATAAAAAATCCCACGAAGTTGTCTTTGTTTTACAAAACAAATCATGAAATTTTCCCAGCTTGAATGATGTTAGTGTTGATAGCTCAGGGTATGTCTCCACTATGGGGGTAGAGTGACGCTATGTTGATTGATTCACTAGGGGTCGATTTAGTGGGTCAAGTGAAGATCCATTAAATCAACCTCTGATCACTCTCTTTTCTGATTCTGGAACTGTATTCCACCAGAACAAGATGAGTAAGGAGGGTTGACAGGAGTTTTTTTTTTTTGTCAACCAAACATGGTGTGGACTTGGCAGTAAGTAAATCTAAGTTAGCATAACTGAAATTAAGGTATTAACATAACTCAAATTGTGTAGCTTAGGTCTACTTGTCCCCATAGTATAAACCTGTACTTAATTTTTGTAAGCTAAAATAAAACTGGTGGGGTTTGATTAACAAGGTAACCATGTAATTGCCAAAAATCTTAATGGTTACACGTGCAAGTTTTACACCACAGAATCTGCACTGAAGCCTTCCTGGGAGCGGGGCTAGGCAAAGTTTCACCAATAACATTAACAGATAAGCATCAGCTTATTGGTTAAACTCAAAAAGTCCTTTGAGTTTCTTAGGAATGTTAAAAACAGACTTTGTTTTCTAAACTCAGAAATAAATTTGTAACATGATGGTTTGTTTTTCTTTTGTTGTACAAATACACATTTTAGACCAAGAGAAAGCAAACAAAAAGGGCACTGGCCACCTGTTATTTTTGTCAGGATTCTCCTTTTTCACAATAAAAACAGCACAAACGCCATCAATAACTGTAAATATTTGCCAACTTTTGCCAGGTGTTGTTTAAACAAACTTCTCTGGCTAAATATTTAACTTCCCTTATTAAATGTTTCCCCAAACATATTAAAAGCTAACTGAACAATTCCAAATAAGGCTGAAGGACTGTTGGGTTTCACCGCACAGAAGTAACCCCATAGCCACGCCATTTTCCAGATCATGGTCCAGAGAGTGCAAACCCCGCACCGACAGATCCCTGGCTACAGCGACGGGACATCCTGGGTCCACCCACGCGAAACACGCTGCGGGATCACGACCCAGCCACCTTCTTGGCAGGCGTGTCACGGCCCCGAGCGGCCCCAGAGGGAGCGAAGCGAAGGGAGTGGAAAGGTGCTGACGGAAAGGGCGTTTCTCCTAGCTCCGGCCCCGGCCCGCGTGAGGGCTACGGCCCCGAGCGGCCCCAGAGGGAGCGAAGCGAAGGGAGTGGAAAGGTGCTGACGGAAAGGGCGTTTCTCCTAGCTCCGGCCCCGGCCCGGGCCGCACCGGCCTTCCGCCCCCGGGGGCCTAGGGCCTTGACGAAGCAACAGCCCCGCACGCAGCGCCTGTAGGAACCGAACTCGAGCGACGCCGAGCTCCCCTCAGCCCCCGAGCTCCGCCCGCCCGGGCCGCCCCCGGCGCCCGCTCACTTCTTGTCCGGGCAGATCCAGTCCCCGTCGCTGACTCGGAAATTCTTCGTCGACATCTTGCTCCGCCAACTCCGGCGCCCAGCGGCTCGGCAGGTGAGGGCCGGGGTCCTGTGT